CCAGTATAGTCGGTCAAAGGCAGTTGGCACGATAAATCCCCCCAAGACGACAGGATAGAATTCCGCGACCCTGGGCAGGCGCTGCATAGCGGTTTCCCCGAGGAAGGTGCCCTTATAAGGGCCCTATCAAGCCACAACTTTACGTCCCAAACGCCCGCCACGCCCGCCCGCCCACAAATGGACGACCGTTCCTGACGCTCGTATTCATTCGCTCGTATTCATTCATTGAAGCGAAGGGATTGGTATGAAGCGGTGATGCTGCATGCATACATGGGTACACATATGCAGCCGTATCTTCGGTAGCGGTGATTGGTAAGATGCCTACGGGAAACTCGTCCGAAATCGATTTACAAGTCACTGAGAACGGAGGCTTTTTCTTCGCAGGATTTTGACCGTTTCACTCCGTTCTTTCGCCATTTCCCCACTATACAGCGCCCTACTAGCATTTTAGGCTAAGTAGGAAACCATCGTGCCAACTGCCTTTAAGAAATCTTCGTGTCTAATTTCTAGTCCCTCGAATTCCCCGAGAACCGTTCTCACCGCTCATAGAGGATGCCAGGTTTGACGCTACACATGATAGCTTGAGCTACCGAATTGTTGTTGGTTTGACGGATTTTATTTTCACCCCAAAAGGACACTCGTAATGCAGAAGCCTACTACTCGATCATACTGACAACGATGCAAGATCACCCTGTGAAGATTTGGAAATTCTTTTTCGAATACGTCCTGCTCTGGTGTCCAGCAGAAAGTTGAGATCACTAGGCGTAAGCCATATAGGTTGATTGAGAAAATGGTCGGTAGCACTACCCATATCGAAATCTGGAATCCCTCACGAAAATTGGTTGCCCGCCTATGCTTGGCGCCTAGGGGCGTTTGAAGGACCTCTAGTGCAATCAAAGACAGCCTCTGCAATATAACAATAAGCAGAAATCCTTAAATGTGTACGGGATGGGGAGTCCGCAGTCACCGAGGATGACCTGCTCCTGCGACTTGAAATTGATAAACTGAGGTGGACTGAGCTACAATGAGCTGACTCCGCCCTCCTCGATCGATTTTCGTAATCAAGTCTCGTTGGCGGTGATCTCGGAGAAAAAGGTCTTATCAAACACGCCACAGAGAGTGAGTAGCAGCCAGGCCGCGGCTAGGTTCAGAGGGGAGACGGTAAAGAGGATCGTAATTCGCCGCACCGCCACGCGCGGCGATGGGCGCGGCGTTTTCATAACTCGTTTTAACCTGTCGAATGGAGCACCGGACTTCATGTAGACCCCGTCATCGTAGACACTCATTACTGTTTTCGGTCCTTAATTGCATGTTGTCGCCATCTACTGCCTGAAACCATCGTCCTTTGCGGGCGGGACGTCGCACGCGACGCCCAGCAGCGCGGCAAATTACGATCCTCTTGTCACATACCCGGTTCAGAGAACTCGCCCAACGTTCGGTTAGCTCGTCCATTTTTGACACCGCACATGGGGTCTTACGTTTCTGACGATTTCTTTCTTCAATGGCAATTCATTTACCTCGTAATCTAATGGTTATCTGCTCTAAAGCATGCGAAAGGCGATCGCGGGAGCTGTCTTTGCATGAATTTAATTATGTACCTGTATTGACCGCATTACTTGATCCGCTCGTTCCCATTCTATGAAGCGAGCCTTCTGAAAACACAAATGAAATTGGACGAAATGCTTGTAAGGAAGGTATGGAAGAAGTTCCTACAAAAGTAAGCTCATAAAAAACAGCCCGTCAATGTTTTGCAACAATTGGCTATGCTTTCGTGAAAGGTTGAAAATTCTTTCCACTGAACTTCTGCACTCATTGGATCCTCTGCCATAATGTCCTTTCCCCTTTGGAAGTTTTTGAAAAGAAACTGAAGGGGAGAGCGATTTTCAATCCTTTATTGCAAACCTATCTCTAATAAGTCGACCACCGTGGCATGAAGGCCCGCATTAGCTCAGCAAGGACCCCAACCTCGACGCTGTGCGTTCATTTCCAAGCCTCATTTCTTCACAGCATCTAACTCCCCTCACACACGGCCACAGTCCACCTGGTAAAACATACAACGTAGTTTTGAGCGCGTGTAGAAGCCGACGCCACGTGCTTCAGCTACCCTCCGCCCGTTTTGTGAATAATCAAAAAAATATAATCACGAGCAATCATATGCAAATATCTCTGACCGCGTCAACACCTCGTTGGAAAGATTCGTAATCAACTTGAATCGCTGGATCGAAGATGAGAATAGTGCGCATTCCCCAGCTGTGCAGCTTCTTCACGTAGTCCGACAGTCCTGTCCAATTCTGAATGATTCTTTTCAACTCTTTCCAGCTGCTCCTGTTTGAGACTCGCTACACATGTTACGCTTTGGAAAGGCTCATTTCCTTTCAACTAGCCACTTCAGGGCCTCTTCACATTGTCTATATTACGAAGATTCGAACATGAGGGTTGCTCCAATAATGTAACATACTTGGCCAGTCGTGAAATCTTTGTATCGATCCATATAATCAATATCGGCCACTGCAGTATCCAAAGGAATACCCGCTTCCATATTTCTGCCTATGATTTCAGTCATTTCATTGAGGTCCTTGTAACCATAACGCGATATCTGAAATAAGTCAGCAGTCATTCTGGAATGACCAACACTTCATGAGAGCCATAGGAAAACAAATTATAAACCTCACTTGATAGCCCAGCGCCCAGTAAGCTGGGAGAAAAGGTGTTCCAATAAGAGCCAGATATTGTTGGGTGACTTCTTCAGGCGTTGGTCCGGGAAAGAAGTACATATCCAAGTTCCCACCAATTGTTCGATAAATCAGCACCGGGCCTGGAGCTGTTGTCACTTCCTGAAGAGTCTTTTTTCCATGGTTGTCCTTCAGCGTGGTCGTTTCCAACATTGCGATGGTCATTGGCCACAGTGGTCTTCTTTATACCATCAGAGGCGCGTTATGACTCGCGAGTGTGCGTATCCTAGCCGTTTGATTCAACTTGTTAGATGAGTTAGGTCATGAAATACTACGGCGCTATTGTTTTCTTAGCTATTCACTACCCGATGGAAATTATTTTGGAATATACTTAGTATTCCAAAATAATCGAGTAGACGAGTCGTGCCACAGTCATGAATAAAACTAGGCGTAAGGCTACGGTAGTGTCTCGTGAGGGTGCTGCATCTCTTCCCTCCAATAAAGACCTCCTAAGATTATAGCACAAATGACCGAAGTCGCGTTGGCCTACTGTTGCAGAACAGACCGTTCCTGTGCAACTCTGATCGCGTTTCCCTATTCTTAAGCCTTCGTTAAGTAGAGAGAAACACAGGCGCTCTCCACCGCTGCCCCCTTCCCCACCCCCGCCTCCTCCATCAGCTATGTTTATGCCCCATTTCTGTGAGACTTTTGATACAGTTCCTTTTTTCGAATATTCAGCTCTAACTACCTGCGCGTTGCTGTTCAGAAGCAGTACGCCATGAGCCTTGCCATCTGGTTCCAGAATCATATAGAAAGGATGTACTCCTGAAAATAATCATTCTCACTTTCCTTTCAGAAGTCAGAAGAAAATCTGCCTCATGAACAGTGGCTACCGTAGAGGTTTTTCGTGTCCAGAAAAGCCGAGTTTGGAGGTTCGTCTCTTGCTAGCATGGCCCATGTATGGTATGTGGAGAAATTGTGCTCAAATAGATCAATCTTTCCAATTCTAAAAAGGTGGTAAGAAGAGTGTGTTTGACGAGAACCTTGAGTGTGGGGTGAACGTTTTCTCCCCATCCGTACATAGCGTCCGACGGCAGATACGTTGCAATCTGTAGGAACTGGTCGGAAAATATTAGTCCACCTTAAAGTTTTCCAATGTTTTTTTTATTAGATTTTACAACATAGTCCATTAATCTCAGTTTCAAAGATTTTATTTTATATGAGAATGATTCGATGAATAAAAACGCTATAGTCCATATTGCATTTGGCGCATTCATGACAACTAACTTCTTTTAACAACTAACTTCTGACCACTGGACTGGGTGCTGAGATGGAGGTGGTTTTAGATGGTTGAAAGGAAAGATCGTTGTGAAAGGCGAAATGCATTCGCTGCCATCTCCCATTGCTTTCTGCGCAGTTCCTCTGCCTATATTGCCTATGGGGAATCCCCAGCGTACGACGGGGTTTGTCGTCTGGTCGCTGGAGGGTCTGTTTAGCCTGAGGAAAACTTTTTGCTAATTGATTTTTCCTCCCCCTGGTTGACCACGCATGAGGAGTCCTGAAATTCTCCACAGTGTGAGAAGTTGGGGTCAAGAGGGGGAGGGGTTGTACCAGAAGAGGAAATTTAGGGGAGTCTATTTCGGTATTTAACAATTACTCAGCGACAGGACGTGCCCTGACCGTCAACCAGCAGCGATCAGTTAGTTGATTCGCACGCGGTGATTGTCGCTTCAACTGACCGATTGATGTGTCGAAAAGGCGTCTTCCCGTAGATTTTCTTTTAACGACGAAGGAAAAGACATCATTTGAAATACCGGTGTCGAACTGAAAAATCTAATTCCACTCCACAGAATAAAAATAGCCTCAAGAAAAAATTCTGTCAGATTTCTTCGTCAGATTTTCTGTCAGGAAACGATATGGAGCCGGATAAAAGGGGTGCGCTAGGAACACGATTAAAGGCCCTCTTGGAATTGCCGAGTAGGCGAAGTAGGAAAACGGTGTCATGCACTCTTTTTTTCGTGTTTCGACTGCACTGAAAGAAGCGGCGATAAGAGTGAGAATGACGCGATGTCCCGTCCTCTCCCACAAGGTGATCCCGAATGAGGTTTTTGAGTGGGGCGGTGGAGTATAAGTTCGCCCGCTCTGAAAATAGTCCTGGGGCGAATCGTGATATCAGTTCTTTAGAGCATTTGTTTCGTTATGCTCATTCTACGACACTGGGTTTTGGCCGGCGCCATCTTAGCGCCACAACTTTTCTCAACAACATCTGTATAAACTTGCTTACTGGGGCTATTCAGTGCCCTGTTCACGAAAGTGGCATTCATTTCTAGCCGTGGCGCCATTTGGCGCCATTAGGTGCCAATTTCGGCGCCACTAGCGCCACTTTGGCGACACGACCTTTCTCAAAAAATCTGTATAAACTTGCATAATGGGGTTTCTCGGTGCCCTGATCACGAATGTAACATTCATTCCAGCCATGGCGCCGTTCGGTGCCATTTGGTGCCAATTTGGCGCCACTACTTTTTTCACCAAAATCTTTATAAACTCGCAGCCTGGTTTGTGGAATGGTCACGTGATCGTCATTTGCAGAGCATACATAAATCACGTGAGCTTGCGGCGCTGGCGGCTCTGCGCTCACCATAGCCGCTTGTTCACGTGATTGCTACATGTCTTTATAGCTCACATTCACGTGCTCATTATAATACATGCAGTCTGAGCCGACCAAGGCGTCGCCAAAGTGGCGCTAGTGGCGCCAAATCGGCACCTAATGGCGCCAAATGGCGCCACGGCGAGAAATGAATGTCATTTTCGTAAACAGGGCTTTGAGTAGCCCCAGTAATCGAGTTTATACAGACTTTGTTGGAAAAAGTAGTGGCGCCAAGGTGGCGCCAAGTGGCGCCAAAATGGCGCCAGCAAAAAACCAATTTCGTAGAATATGAGCATACCCTCGGATAGAGCTCGGCGAGCTGATTCTAATAATATATGGGTATCCATACAAAAAATCAAAAAGAACAGCTCTATAACGAAAAAACGAAAAAAACGCGGATCGGCGTTTTTTTCGTAATTTTTTGAATAACAGGGTGGGTACAGTATACCGTTTGGAGGTTAGTACATACCTTCAGTTATGTATCTGTGAAATTTGGCGAACCTACCACAGAAGAAGTTCTCGAGAAATTGAAAAGAAGCCCGAGTGGTGAAAATCAGCGCCGGATTTTCAAATCAGACGTCATAAGAGGAAGTGCGCTGCTCAAATTTGACCTGCGCCGGACCAGTAGTTGTGTGTAATGGTGTTCTCGAAATACAAGGTGGAAGGTTTGGTTCAGGAGCCCGAAGAAGGAAGAAAGGAAAAAATTGTTGTCGTGGATGGTCCCATAATGTTCATCCTGCACAAGAAAAAAGGGTGGATGAAGTCAAGCGCTGAATGTCTGATCCCAGAGCCTGGACCTTTGTCGAGCTTCCCCGCGAGTCTGACATCCCAGCTGCAACTGCTGCCCGAGTTATGTCCGATAAACTGAGGATGGTCAAGAGGGTGTGCGCATGGGTACCTAATTTTCTTGTAGAAGCACGAACGCAGTACCGATTCTATGCCTCTAGCAGTAATGTTCTCAGCATGAAGATGTCATTCACGACTGTGAAAACGCACCCCGGCCCTAGATGAAATATGGGTGGTCTTGGACCTCGAGCCAAAACTCACAATCGTCAATTTTGTATGAATGCAGATGAGCCGCCGTCTACCATGAAGAGTTACGTGGGCGCAAGTGGATGATCATCATAGCGAAGGATTCCCACACTGTGGCTTTCAAGCGGCTCTATACAGAGAATAAAATCGTCGCTGTCGGTGTATATTGCCTGTTCCTCGGATCGACAAATGGATGATACCACACAACTACAAGAAGGCCACCGTTGCTCGTCATAGTGCCAGACCCCGAGTAACTGTATTGTAGGGCAGTGCTGGGACACAAACAATATTGAGACCTGGGTTCAATCGCCCCATTCGCCCAACATAGAGCGGTTCGATTCTTTCAACTGTTCTGGTCAGTCGAGGGTACTCTCCGACGGCAAACGCTACAATGTTTTGTCATTCGCCGAAATTGGCATCAACAGCAATTTACTCGCACTTGTTGAAAAACCGAAGGTACCAGAGGTCCAAACGCTTTCGGGGCCCTGGGAGCGGGTCATTGGTGAAGGAGGGATCTACTTAACTCGAAGCCAAAATATTACTTTTCTATCTGTTTTCTCTTCGTTTTATATGAATAAGATCTTCGGCACTTTTGAATGGGACGACCTAATAGTTGCTCATCGTCTTTTTAGCTGTGAATCATCAGTCCCTTACCTGCCTTTATGAATTCCTGCTTTCAACTACGGAACATTAAAAGTCCTCGCAGCGATGACAACCCCACTTGAAGTTCGCGTATCACCCATTCTCAATGTGCACGGTTTTTGAGACCGCGTTCACAACTTGCGGCTCAGGAATAGCAGGGTTCGGAGAACAGGCGCCGTATATATTTCCCCTCGAGGGGCAGATGTCCCCCAGTAAACCTCCGCACTGTGCCAATATCACTACGATTGCCCGTCGTCTCTCTGCTTCTGCCTCCTGCAGCCTCTGCTTCACCACTTCACCACCGGTTTCCCCTAACGACAGGCGCTGGGGAAAAGGGGAGAATGCCGATCATACTCTGCACTCTACTCTGTTCTTTCAAAACGTGCGCCAGTATGAACCTAGGGCGACGAGGACCAGAGGGACGAGGGACAACAGTAAGGATGACGGCAGAAAGTGGTGATTCCGAGAGATATCTGCCCCTCGTGGGGATGTAAAGCTACGCCCCCAGGAGTTGATTGATGCCGACCTGCTTTTCCATTATCCCATACAATTGCCTTGGTCTCTTATCCATCTATTTTCCCCAAAGCGATCGATACGTGGACATCCTCTTGGCGCGCATTCTCTCGTTTCCCCACGCTCCTAATTTCCACATAAAGTGGCCTTGGT